TTGAGATACCGGGGCCATTACCCGGCTTTGGCTCGAAAAATTGAAGCTACTTCAGACATGTCTAGGACAATCTTTATGATTAAGCGAAATTCAGAAACGACTCAGAAACCCCCCCATCAATCCACTATACCTCACTCCGGCAAGACTGACTGCAGCAGAGCCACCATCTCTGCTGCTGCTATGCCATACTCCCATCCTACCAGCTAGCCCCCTCACTGGTAGAACGCGTGGTAACCCACCATCCTCTCCCACTCACCTTATCTTCTTTTTGAAATACCTAAGAACTCTTACCGTCGTTCCAGAAGCATGAGAAAAGGCCACAGAGGTCATACGATGATTCCAAAAACCTCGAAATCCCACCCAAACCCTTCCAACTTTCTCCAAAACTGTCGTACTCCCTGCCGATCTCTTCTAGGTCTCACACCCCCACTTTCTGCTGGGTTACAGGGCAGCGCAACACACCCCAGCTCCGACCAGCGTTCCCTACTTCAATCTTCTGCACCGTGAGGAGTAGGGGAAATACAAATAGGGCAAAGAGAGTGATAACAGGGCCAGAAAGTTTAGTAGTTCCTCAGTAATTGCGACGAGCTTCCCCTAAGCAACAGTAGTTTCTGCACACAAGGTGGTTAATCCTTCCTCACTGGGGAAGCAATCAATGCCCCGTGACTATGCTATATTCGTGTTATACAGGGAAGCTGTCTCCAGGGGAGCAGTGGCTGAGGCTCTTCCAGCCCTAATGGGAAGAGGAGTGTGTATGAGTGCTGTAATCAATCTCATAATTGGAGCCTTCTGCACTTATTAAAAAAAAAAAAAAAGGACAGGAATTTTGTTCTACTATAAGTGGTTGGAGGTGATGAAGGGGAGGGGTAAGGAGAGAGGTAGAAGAGACGAGGGGTGAAGGGAGGGTAGGGGAAAGAGCAGAGACTACCCTCTTCCCCGGAACACAACGCACCCTTATTTTGGCTGTATCCGGCCGGAAATATAGCTCGTATACATTCACTTTTAGGGTGCGTTATGTTCAGGGGAAGACCGTAGGGGCCTCTCCACACCACTATCCAAACGGAAAAAGAAAGAATGATTCTTCCCCAGAAAGTGGTAAGATGCATCTGTCGCTATTCATAGTAACGGATGCATCTTGACACACTCTGTCTGAAGATGCACTCGAACTTTTTCGTTTCTACGGTGGTGTGGCGAGGCCCTAGGAAAGTTCTACAGGAGGGAGAAGGTATAGAGAAAGGCTATACACAGGCCTAACGCCCACGGCCTGGAAACCAGCGTAGAGCCAACAACAAAAAAAAAAAAAAAAAAAAAAAAAAAAAGTGAAACCAGCCTAGAGACGGCTGGTTGGAGCGAGCGACGCTGGTCTCCCCAAGTGGTTCATCTACATTCAGGATGGTCCTACCTTGTTCGCCGTCGCCCGAACACGAAGCACTCTGACAGTGAACGTATAGAGGCGACGTTTCCAGTCCGATACAGTCAAGGTAAGCCTGGCTTCGTAGTACGGTAGTAAGAGGCCGTACTCACACGCGGGCCTCTTGGATCGAATCTTGTCGGATTTCGGTCCAGATTCAGCCGCGAAAGTTCCACCATCTTCCCCCGAACACAACGCACCCTTGTTTTGGATGTATCTTGCCCGAAATATAACTTGTATACATTCATTTTTAGGGTGCGTTATGTTCGGGGGAAGAGGGGCGTGTGTTACGTTTGGCCGGATCAGGCCCGCGGCTCGACATTCCCCAGGGCCAACCATGACATCATTTTTTTTTTTTTTTTTTTTCCGAGAACCATGGCATCATTTGAAGTCGTCACCCTGGACCTCGCGGCACAGTCACACTCACACTGGGACTTAGCTGGATGTATGTATGTGCCCGTAATTAGGGTTGGTTCGACGTATGTGATCGCAACTGCTCCTACCAGTGATGAGGCAAAAACGTTTTCGTGAGATCAGACAAATAGTTTCCCCTTTTTCGTTCTCATTACTGCACTGTGAGTGGCCTTGCTTAGGCCCTAGTTGCACTACTCTCCACACGGCACAAATCGTGTCGGTTTTGTGGAGAGTGAAATTTTGCGAATTTGTGGCGATTCGGTGTCCTGGTTGCATGTACTCGCCACCGTTTCTTCTGCCCGAAATTCTGTCCCGGCCATCTGGCCGCGGGCGTTGTCCTGGCGAGTAGGTGCAACCAAGACAACTCTCGCAACACTTTTCCTTTGGTACCGTGTGCATCCCCGGTAGTCTCAAATTCCCAAGTCCTCTAATTTTCCCAAGTCTGCATAAATTTTTATTTTGTTGGACTGTACTTTACGGCATGTCATGTCCAGATACATCCCTAAGTCTTTGTCCGCCGGCCTGGAGTGCTTCCCTTCCTTCTGTTTCCCGCCTGCGCTCCCCCTACTTCCGCTCGCCACAATTCCGACTACAATACTGCCCGGCGCGACAAAAGTCGCCGTGAAATCGGTTTGTGGAGGGTCCCAAGGACCACCCGCCACAAACCGCCGTGCACAGGCGGGGAAAACGAATTCACTCTCCACAASTTGTGTCGACGGTGTGGCGAGCCGTCTGACACATTTTGCATTCGCCAAGTTTGGCGAGTACGTGCAACCAGGCGCCTACTCGCCAAACTTGGCCTATGGCGGTAGTGCAACTAGGCCCTTAGCTTGCTGAGCAAGCCCGCTCCCTTTTTTTTTTTCTTTTCTTTTTTGTTCTTTTCACACCCTCCTAAGCCTTTCATCTGCGGTAAACAGACCCCAGCGACATGTGCGTTTCTTTTTTTTTTTCTTTTTTTTTGTTGTTGTTTCCCAGGACATGTGCTTTTCGGTCTCGCTCCACTACAATCTGCTGTGAGAGCTAAAAAAAAACGTATAAAACCCGGCGTTGCTCCACTTAGAGGCTCTCCGCACAGGCTGTCCAAAACCAGGTTTTCCACAATTTTGCATAGCCACACAGACTTTCCAAGAATTGCGGCTCAAAAAAAATTCAGATTCAACAGGTGTCAGAATGGTGCGCTCGACAGCCAGCTTCCCCCATTCGTTTCCTCCCGCCTGCCTGCAGGAGACGGAATTTGAAAGTGCCCCACCTGCCTTTCCAGAATTGTGTTCCAATTTGCACTGTCAGGGACTGTTCCGTGACGGGCGTGCCCTGTGGAAAGGTGGAGTCCATTTGGCCATGGCCAAAAACCTTGCCCCTCGACAGCTGGTGTGGTGAAGGGGGGTTAAACTGTCCGACTTTCAATTTTTTTCTGACAGCTGTAGAAACTCAGCCTGTGTGGCGAGCCTCTTACTATCTGATATGCGGGTCTCCATTTCCTGAGTTCACTACAAAACACCCTTACAGCACTACAAGACAGCAATTTGTCTGCCCAGACTCCAGGTGCTCCATACGATTTCGCAGTAGAATGCGCACCACCTTCGACCACCCTCCAAGTAACGACTTTTGCAGGCTGGGAACTATAAGGGATCGTATGGTGAATTTGGAGGGCGACAGCGCC